GATGGCTCCGCTGCTGCAGTGCGCCCTCTTGGCGGGGCTGATCGCGGGCGCGGCGTCCCTCAAGCAGGAGGGGGCCACTGGCCCCAAGAGCAAGTTTTGGAACAGGTTCGGGTCCCTGCCCGAGAACGCCCCAGAGTGGTGCAAGAGCGAGTCGGCCCTGACCTGGGAGGAGAAGAGGCAGAGGGTGGCCCAGCACGCGACGCTGATGTGGGCGAAGGAGTCGCTGAAGCAGCTGCACGAGAACAACATGACGGCCCCCCAGTGGATGGAGGACATGGTCGCAAAGGACGCCCGGCAGGGCCAGATGAAGTGGGCCGTCAAGGAGGCCAAGCGCCTGAGGGCGGAGAACGAGGAGGTCCCAGAGTGGATGTCCGCCCTGGTGGAGGAGGACAACAAGTGGGCCAACCGCTGGGCCGCGTGCAAGGTCGCGGAGCTCGAGTATTCCGGGGAGGAGCCGCCCGAGTGGATGAGGGAGAACGGCCGCAAGGGCGTGTTCGCGGCCGCGGCCGAGAAGCTGGCCGAGATCCAGGAGCAGCTGGACGAGCTGGTGGCCCTGAAGGAGAAGGAGGTCGCCCTGGTGCAGGCCAGGGCTGGACCTAAACGGTGCTTTTGCGATCTCGTTGGCCGTTCTCGTTTCGACTTCGTTCTGATTGAAGACTGAACGGAAACAAAACGAGAACGAAGAACACCGTTTGAAGACAGAACGGAAACAAAACGAGAACGAAGAACACCGTTTGGGTTCGGCCCTGGTGCAGGCCAAGGGCGACATCAAGCTGGCGGAGAGGCACCTGATGCTGGCGCACCGCGGGCACTCGGGCGTCCGGCCGCAGGCCGCGCGGAGGGGCCAGAACCTGTCCTGGGCCCGGAGGGCTCCGACTGCGGGCACCTCCGCGGACTCCGCGGGGGTGCTGAGCCTGGCGAAGAAGAAGGCCGCCGCGCAGCAGAAGCCAGAGGTCAACTTCTTCGGGCTCTAGGAATTTCGCCACGGCTTCACGGCTTGATGCCAGCGGTTGCCTGGGGATGCTCGGGCTCCGCTCGGCATGAGATCCTGGCGTGCCTCCTCGTGCTATAATTTTGACTGCAGTCGCATGGTGATCCTCCGTGCCTCGCCTGGTGGGATCTCCTCTTGCCGTCGCCACCTGCATTTTGATATCCTGGCTGCGAGTTTACGCTCCGTTGCTTCACGGATGCCGCGTTGCGGCGCTTCGCACTTTTTGGCCCCCAGATGTTGGAACCTCCACTCCTTGTTGTACTTGCCCTCCTCCTCGAGCGCTCGCCCGCGCGTGAATTGGCCCGGGCAGGTTTTTTTTTGTTAGGTGGCCCTAGAGGTGGTCCTGGGGGGGGGGCAGGCGTTGTCCGCCCCGGCCGCCGCTGGAGTCGAGACAGTGTACAGCATTCGCTGCGCTGCTGGGGGGAGAAGGAGCAATTCCCGCCGACCTCTCTCGGGCTGGACGAAATGGGGGGATTGGGAAAGCGGGGGGTACGAAATTTGCTGCACGCAGCTGGTTTCGGCCTCATCGAGGGGCCCATTCCTCGATACATAGCCGCCTCCGGCGCTGGGAGGCGCCGGGAAAATCAGCTACGTGAGCTGATTCTCAAACCCCCCCTTTGCTATCCCCCCCTTTCGCCCGACCCGACTCTCGGGAACTCTGGAACGCGGGCGGCAGTTGGACAGTCAGTAGCGCCCAGGAAGGCGAGGGCACGGTCGGGTCCCAAGAGCACCGCGCCCCGCTGGCCCTCCCAGGAGCTCTTCGAGAGTTGCGTCAGTGTCGCACTGGGCAGCACCCAGAGAGGGTGCGGTCTGGTTTGGGCACCCCGTGGTGCCGCACTCCGGTGGACGTCCCAGGAGCTCAGGACGGTGGCGTCAAGTCTGCGCAGTCGAGAGTGCCCTCGGCAGGCGACGTCTCTCTTGGGGCCCCGTCAGACGACGCTCCGCTGGACCTTCTTAGGGTCGGGACTTAAGAGGCGGGGGTCAACGCAAATGGGGTTCAGTCAGAGTGCCGGATCTTGCTGGATCCTGCAAGGCCAGGGTCGCATTCGCATTGGGCAGCACCAAGGTTGGCGAGATCTCGTTTGGAGCTCTGCAAGACTAAACTCCGCTTGACTTCCTGAGAGCTCACGAGAGCGTCGACGGTTGCGCATTGGGCAGCGCCCGGGCAGCACCCAGGGCTGGCGGGCGAGGTTTCGTATGGGGCCCCGTGAGGCCGCACTCCGCTGGACCTCCCAGGAGCTCTCGAAAGTGGCGTCAGTTTTGCGTTGGGCAGCAGCGGGGGAGGGGAGGTCTCGTTTGATTCCCCGTAGCGCCGCACTCAGGTGGACCTCCCAGCAACTCTCGCCAAGCGGCGGCGGCTGCGCAGTTGGCAGTATTTAACAACGCATCTAGGAGGCGAGGAGGAGGAGGCGGGAGGCAGGAGGATATAGGAGGCAGGTGGATGTATGAGGTAGGAGCCAGGAGGGTGGAGGGGCGGAGGTGGAATGAGGAGAGGAGGAGAACGCGCAGCAGTGCTGCGCCCATCCACAGGAGGGCTGGGAACATCATTAGCATTAAAGATCAACTGTTGGAGGTCCGCGCGGTTTTGTTGGGTCGGCACTGGACTCCCCTCCCCTGGCGCCTTCAGAGGCGCCCTGGTTTTCGCGTATCCGTGATTCGTGGTTATTTCCAGAGACATACGCACACCTATGTACATATCGGATGTGAGGGGGGGAGATCGCAGTGACATGGATTTCCCCCACCAGGAAATCGGTTTCGGTATCGTGTTCGTGTCGTGCGTGCGGGCGAGAGGAATGAGTCCCCCTCCTGTCTAGGGCGCCGCCAGGCCAAACATCCGCCCCTCCCCCGGGCTGTGCGGCGGTTGCCGGGGGTGTCCCGCCGAGGTGTCCCGCCACGGTGCACCGCGGTGTCGCGTCGGTGCCCGTTGGTGTCCCGTCGATGTCCCGTCGGTGTCCCGTAGTGAGATCGATAGCGAGATCGATAGTGAGATCGATAGGGAGACCGATGCTGAAATCGATAGTGAGATCGATAGTGAGATCGATAGTGAGGTCGATAGTGAGATCTACAGTGATACCGATAGTGAGATCGATAGTGATACCGATAGTGAGATCGATCGTGTCATCGATCGTGAGAACGATAGTGGTGTCCCGTCGGCGTCCCGTCGGTGTCCCGTCTGTGTCCCGTTGGTGTCCCGTCTTTGCCCCGTCGGTGTCCCGTAGTGAGATCGGTAGTGGTATCGATAGTGAGACCGATAATGAGGTCGATAGTGAGGTCAACAATGAGACTGATAGTGCGATCGAGAGTGAGATCGACAGTGAGATCGATCGTGAGATCGATTGAGCGAGACGTTGGTTCCTCCTCCCCCCGAACCTCCATATCACCCGAAGAGTGGTCGCACTGGCACATCGATTTATATACACAAGTGATGCGCAACCGTGTGTCTACGCCGTTGTGTGAGCATTCTGTCAATGAAACGCAGTTGTCGATATACGTCTACGTGTCTGTGCGTGTGCGTGTCTGTACGTATGTCGAGTGGACCTTCGGGCCAGGGGTCGCGCCGGGGGTGCGGGGCTGCTCCTGACAGACCTCCGTACGTTCCTGCTTCTGCCAGTCTTGTTGTTCCTCTAGGGGTATCCTTGGAGGCGTCATCTGGTGCCGGTACCGATTCCCGACAAGTAGCCTTTGGCGACGCGTGCCTGCCTGGGACTTGGCAGCGACGCAGCTCAGGGGAGCGTGAACATGGGGTGATGGGGAAGGGGCAGGCGGAGGAGTGAGCTTGAAGTGCGGGGGTCGATCCAGGAGCTGACCATCACTGGCGAGCTCTTCGGCAATCTCATCAAGGCGGGCCCCCTCATCGCTCAAAGCGGTCAATCCCCCGCTCTTCTTTGCAAGCCTTTCCTTCACTTTTCGTGTACTGAAGTCTTCTTCTGCTGAATCGTCCTACCCCGCCCCCGCTGATGATTTGTTTGGGAGGGGCGCGTCGCTCAGGATGCCTTCAAGCAACAACTTCGCGCCCGAGCCCAGCCCATCAGGCCCAGACATCACCTCCATGGCCAAGGGGGGCCCCCTCAGGTCCTGACTCGTTCAAGGCTTAACGACTTCTGCCGTCCTTCGACTCGCGCTAGAGCGGCCGCGAGCTGCTCCAACTTTCCCTGGAGATCTCTGGATTTACCTGGTTTTGCCCGGATGTATCTCGATGTGCCTGGATTTACTTGGATTTGCTTAGATGTATCTGCATGCACCTGGATTTATCTGGCTCGATCCCCACAAGCCGATTGGCGAAGCGTCGACGAGCCCTTACGGACTGACGCTGCGAGAGGGGACGCGACGTGCACGCGTGCCCCGATGTCGGGCTCTGGGGCCCTCCGGGTTGGCCCGGGATCGAGACGTGCCGCAGGCAAGGCGGCGCCTGCTTCCTCCCGAGCGTGGCGCGCGCTCTGGGCAGCAGAGGGCGCTCGAGCTCTCCCGGGTCTTCCCGCCTCGCCCTCCTCCTCCTCGCATAGGGGCGCGCAGACAAAGGGGATGGCACGAGGGGGAGGGCCTTCCCCAGAAGACAGGGGGGGGTTCTTCTCGGACGTCAGAGACCTTGCCAGAAAGGGCCTGAAGGCTTCTGACCGTGGAGAACAAAAGACGCCCCGAAGCCTAATAGCACGACGAAGGCGTGGCCTCACTGAGATGTCGTCCTTGCGTTAGGGATAGACATTCGGGATGGTCTGGATTGACGCATCTTCAGAAACGACCACCCTATCCCTAATGTTTTTGGCCCTCCGAACTTAGGTCCCCTCCCAAAGGGTTAGGGTTTTTTTCCCCACATCCTGAGTGGGGTTCTTGTTTTCCCAGAACACCCTCTCCTTCCCACCCACCTCCCGCTCCATCTTCCATACAGCACAATAATATTCCTACCACACACACCATACCATACCATAGTTCCTACCACACATACCATACCAGACCATACCATACCATACCACACCATACGTACCATACCGTACCATACCATACCATGGCGTACCATAGCATACCATACCATATCACACCTATGCCACACCGTACCATACCATACCATACCTCCAGTACCATACCATACCACATCATACCATACCTCCAGTACCATACCATACCGTATCGGAATACCATACTATTTACATGGTTTCGTGCCCATCCCACCCCTCCAGGGAGGCCCCGCCTGAGCGAGGAGGGTATCGGAATACCATACTATTTACATGGTTTCGTGCCCTTCCCACCCCTCCAGGGAGGCCCCGCCTGAGCGAGGAGGGTATCGGAATACCATACTATTTACATGGTTTCGTGCCCCTCCCACACCTCCAGGGAGGCCCCGCCTGAGCGAGGAGGGTATCGGAATACCATACTATTTACATGGTTTCGTGCCCCTCCCACCCTTCCAGGGAGGCCCCGCCTGAGCGAGGAGGGTATCGGAATACC